CTAAAATTAGCCGAGGCAAGCAGGGGAAACGGAAGGGCGAAGGCGGCACGGCTGCTTGTGGGGAATCGGTCTTCATTGGCCTTAAAGATGTCGCTGGACTCTATCTTGGATGACAGTTTCTACTAATTTACCTGGGAAAGATGTTAGGCGGACTGGCCTGTAATTTCCTGGTTCCCCTCTGCTATGTTATTTGTTAAAGAATTTGAATCAATCCATATTTTCCATCCCAAAGCTCTCTGAGTTAATTTTTTATATATAACTCTGTAGTCTTTCTCTTCCCTTTCCCCCTTTCTAGATATAAACTAAGAAAACACTATTAAAAGAAAAAAGAGGCAAAAGGGATCCAGGCCTCCTATATTGAATACATTATGAGTTCCCGTCCGACGGGAACTCATAATGTATTCAGTGTAGGAGGCCTGGATCCCTTTTGCCTCTTTTTTTCTTTTAATAGTGTTTTATTAGTTTATATCTAGAAAGGGGGAAAGGGAAGAGAAAGACTACAGAGTTGTATATAAAAAAATCCAAATTAACATTCTCCATGCAAATCTTCTCCTGAAAGTTTCACAACTATTATGACCATCTTTCCTATTGTTCTTCATTTAGTCTTAGATTCTCAGTAGTTAACGTTTTAACCAGTCATAAAACACCCTTCATGGCCCCATAAATTCTTCCATTTTTCCTTTTAGTATATTTGTCAGTCTGTCCATTTCAGTACATTCCATCACCCTCGTCATCATCGGCTCATTAAGCGGTGGGCTTTTCAGTGTCCTCCAAGTCGTTGCGAATAAGATTCTGGCTGCTGTTACAACATGTAAAATAAAATATCTATGGTTCTTATCTAAGAGAGCTAGTTTGGTGTAGTGATTAAGTGCGCGGACTTAATTCCCCACTCCTCCTCCACTTGCACCTGGCTGGATGACCTTGGGCAAGCCATAGTTCTGATAAGGGCTGTTCTTGAAAAAGTGCAGTTTCTGTCAAGAGCTCTCTCAGCCCCACCCGCCTCACAGGGTGTCTGTTTGTTGTGTGGAGGGGGAAAGGAGTTTGTAAGCCTTTCTGAGACTCCTTCGGGTAGTGAAGGGCAGGGTATAAATCCAATCTCCTCCTCTTCCTCCTCCTTTTCTTCTAATCTGGGAGAACCGGGCTTGATTCCCCACGCCTCCACATGCAGCTGCTGCTGTGCCCTTGGGTCAGTCACAGGTTCTCTCAGAGCCGTTCTCTCAAGGGCAGTCCTCCAAAGGGCTCTCTCAGCCCCACCCACCTCCCAGGGTGTCTGTTGTGGGGAGGGGAAAGGAAAGGAGTTTGTAAGCCGCTCTGAGACACCTTTGGGTAGTGAAGGGCGGGGTATAAATCCAATCTCTTCTTCTTCTTCTAAGTCCTCTGGTAGACGATTTAACAAGAAGATTTCTGGTTTGCCTCTGACGGGGTCCTCTTCTCCCCCCTCGTCTCTTCTCCCTCCCCCCTCCCCCCGAACCAGATGCCGAACTCCTTCCTCAGTCGGGGCCTGGGTGCTTGGGACTGTTGCCGGAAGGGTCGGAAGAGGCTGCGTTCCCGTTCCCTGAGCAGGGCCTGGTGTGTGTCGGCGGGCAGGCCTTGGGCCCAGCCATCAGCCCGGAGGAGCCTTCGGAGTGCGAACGGACCTTTGGGGACTTCACCACAATCATCGTCCAGGAGGGCTCCCTGCCCGGGGAGGCACCGTACGTGTGCCCGGACTGTGGGAAAAGCTTCCTTTATGAGGAGCAGTTTGCCCTCCACCAGAGGAGCCACCCCCGGGCCTCTCCTGGCCCCACAGCGAGCCCCCCGCTGAGCCTGCCCCTGGGGGCTGCGCTCTGCACCTGCCCCGAGTGCGGCCGCTGCTTTCCTCACCAGGCCAGCCTGAGCAAACACCGCCTGTGGCACTCGGGCGAGCGGCCGCACACCTGTGCAGAGTGCAAGAAGAGCTTCCGGCTGAAGATCAACCTGCGCCTCCACCAGCGGACGCACGCGGCGGCCGGGGGGAAGGCCGGCTCCTACATCTGCGGGGAGTGCGGCCGGGGCTTCAACCACCACTCCAATTTCCTGCGGCACCAGATGATCCACACGGGGGAGAGGCCCTACGCCTGCGGCGAGTGCGGGAAGACCTTCATCCGCAAGGAGCACCTGGCCACCCACGGCCGGCTGCACACCGGGGAGCGCCCCTACAAGTGCCCCCTCTGCCAGAAAAGCTTCACCCGCAAGCAGCACCTCGTGGGCCACCAACGCCTCCACGAGGGGGAGACCCCCTGGGTGGATAGCAGCCTGCCTCTGAAACCCCCACACGGCCCTCAGGGCAGAGTGAGGCTGCGGATGGAAGCCCTGGGGCCCCCCTTCCGGCAGGAGACGTTCCCCCCCTAAACCGTCCATCTGGTGCACCCTGGCTGGGACACAGAACCATTTGTGTATGCTGTGATGGCAGCCATTTTGAACCAAACCACTGCGTGCCGGTGGGGGGCAGGACGCGAGGCCCTGTGGCTTGGGCCTGCGGAAGAGGCATTACCCAAACACAAGAAGGACTGTGAGGGTTGCCGTTTGTAAAAAAGACACGGGTCGCTGCCCGCTTTCCGGAGTCATCCGCATGACACTGGCTCATGGGAAGGGGAGGGGGTGACCGAGAAGGGAGCGGCCGTGTGTTCCTCTCGCACGCTCTTGGTGGTAAAGTTGTCGTCTTTCACCGTCCTGGTGGTTGTCCGTGGGTATTTGTTTTCCACCGCCGTAGCCCTGGAGGTAAATTGATGGTCCCTTCGGGGGAAGTCTGTGCTGCCTCAGTCTCCTCTGGCCATTCCCACCACAACGGGCTCGCCTGGGAAGCTGTCACGGCTCAGGGGGGGTGTCACCTGACGCTGCCACCACTCTGGATTTAGGATCCCTTGAGAAGGCCCAGAGCACCCTCCCAAGACCTTCAGACCTCCCTTGTTTGGCCGAATAATAGGAGTGAGGACCAGGCAGAGTGAACAAGGAAAATAGTTTATTGTATAAGAGGTCAAAAAAACAAGGTGCAGAATAATAACAGTAAGTGGGTGAAAAGAGAAGAAATCAAATTCCCTAACGCGTCTAAATATATACTGTCCCTAGCTCACTATTCCAAGTGGCACTAGACGACTCACCCTTCCCTCAGGATGAGGGTCTCTTCCCCACAGCAGCCTTCCTTCTGGCTCTGCCCTCTGGGAAGAAGAACAGCTTTTCCTGCTGCTCCATATCTTTTATTCCAAGCCCTCCTCTTTTCCTATTGGTCAATTTTGGCTCCAAAACCTCTTGGGGGCTTCTGGGAGTTGTAGGCCCAGCCTCACCTACTGCTAGCCAGGCTCCCTGGGCCTAGTAGGCCTCTGGTGGCACAGCCCAGATCATGACAGAAGCGCAGGGCAAGGCTGTCTTGGCAAGGGAGGGCATGTTTTTCAGCCCATCTGAGACCTCCCCCCCACTCCACCCACTTGGGCAGCTCTTTCTCTTTCCAGCTGGCACCGAGGCAGTGACCCAGGTGGGGGGAGACCCACATGAGTCCCAGCCTTTCCCTCTTTATGCGGTGGAAAAGATCCAGAGTCCAACAGCACCTGAAAGACTAACAAAATTGCGGCAGGGGAGGAGCTTTTGTGAGTCATCACCAACGCTCCCTCTAATCTGTGGAGTCTTGTGAGCAAAAATTCTACTCTGTGAGCTACTGGCATGAAAGTTGTGAGCGAGCGGTTTGGCTGCTGCATCAGTTTGGTGTCGTGGTTAAGTGCGCGGACTCTAATCTGGGAGAACCGGGTTTGATTTCCCCACTCCTCCACTTGCACCTGCTGGGTGACCTTGGGCAAGCCGTAGTTCTGATAAGAGTTGTCCTTGAAAGGGCAGTTCTCAAAAGAGCTCTCTCGGCCCCACCTACCTCCCAGGGTGTCTGTTGTGGGGAGGGGAAGGGAAAAGGAGTTTGTAAGCCACTCTGAGACACCTTTGGGTAGTGAAGGGCGGGGTATAAATCCAATCTCTTCTTCTTCTTCTTCAATTAGTTTGCTCTGGATCCATTCTTCCTGAGCGGAGACAAAAATGTGTCAGCCAGAGGCTAAAAAACTGTGAGCTGGCTCACACAAACTCAGCTTAGAGGGAACACTGGTCATCACTCACTTCTTCAGAGATCTGGTATCTGAAGAAGCGAGCAGTGAATCACAAAGAAAGCTCCTCCCCTTCCACAAATTTTGTTAGTCTTTCAGGTGCTGCTGGACTCGGTCTCTCGTCTCCCGCTACAGACAGATTCACAGAACAACTCACATTGACACTTTATGCTGTCAAGCGGATAACAGTGTTTTGGGAGGGGCGGCCAGTGAAGCTCTCGAGGGCCAGATTAAAACTTCTGTAGGCTGGCTGTAGGAGCTACGGTGGCTCAAGTGGTTAAGACGCTGAACTGCAGGTTGTGGAAGGTCAATAGTTCAGCAGTTCGAGACCCGAGTGTGCCGCATGACGGAGAGAGCTCCCGTCTCTAGTTCCAGCTCCTGCCAACCTAGCAGTTCGAAAGCAAGAAATTGCAAGTAGATAAATAGGTACCACTTCAGTGGGAAGGTAACAGCATTCCGTGCGCCTTGGTGTTTAGTCATGCCGGCCACATGACCATGGAAACGTCTTCGGACAGCGCTGGCTCTTCGGCTTTGAAACGGAGATGAGTCAGAGTCATCTGGCTTTCGAGCAAAGGAACCTTTACATTTAAATGGCGCCCCCGTGGCTGGTGGTGCCCCCCCCCCCCCCCCGCTGCACAGGTGAGGTGGGAGGCAGTTGCCACAATTGCCCTAGTTGCAGGTTTTGCCTTGGCCAAGTGTGCATTGCACAAACCTTTGCAGATTGCCAAAGTGGTGCTTGGAAACGGCAGTCAGGCGGGTGTGTGCAAAAGGAGACAAGACCATCCTGCTTATGGCGAAGAGGCAGACTGCTGCAGATTTAATTGGGTGGTGGTTTTTTTAAAGCCATATTAAAAATTGGGATGA